AGCTTCTTTTATATTGGTATTATAGAGAGGTTAGAAAATTGTACTGTTGGGCTTATAGTATTGTTTTTCTGGATTTCTATATTCAAAACATATAATCTATATATCTATATTCTATATATATCTATATGTTTGTTGTGACAGATAAAAAGTAAACAATACTATCCAATTTGAAAAATAAACAATGCATCGATCTTTTGGAGAGAGTAAGCTAGATTGCCCACATTTTACAAAATTTTTTCTGAAAAGTGGGGTCAATGAAAGTATATGAAGTTTTTCTGTAAGTTTTACAGATATATAGTTGTTTTTACAAGATTATACTATCTTAGTAAGGGCTATTTCACTACTTGCTTTTAGAATAAACCTTCTAGTTTGAATACCAAATATTCTGGAAAGTCCACCAAAGAAAAAAGTTGATCCCAAGAAAAACTATTTAAGTTATATCTGCTTCTTGGTATTTCATATCTTCCAAGTTTCATTAATAGCAATCTGTTTAAAGATAAGTTTAGTTTTCAGAATAAACCTTCTGGTTTGGATGTCAAATATCTTAAGGAGTCTACCAAGAATAAAAGCTTGACACCAAGAAAAACCACCCAAGTTATGTCTGCTCCTTGGTGTTTTATATCTTTAAGCTTCGTTAACAACTGCTTACTCAAAAACAGGACTAAAAATAATATATATTTTAAGACTTTCTATATTGTTTTTCTGTAGTTCAGTTTTTTGTTGTATTGTCTAGAAGATTGTTAGAAAAAATTGAATTAGTATATTTAATAGTTGATTTTTATAAGTTTTGTATTTGTTATAGAAATTATTCTGTTTTTTATAAAAGTATAGCTTAGTATAACCAAGTATAATAATATAACTTGTATATCAATAAAGTAAAGTTTGTATAAATTTACTAAAACTAAAATAGTAAAATTAAATTTTGTATAAAAATAGATAAAACAGATGTTAGAGTTGTATAAATTGATTAGTAATATTGATTAGTAATATAAATTTGCAAATCTTGGGCATCTTAAAGAGACTGAAATCCTCAAAAAATAGAAAATTTTTTTGTAAAAACTAGATATTATTAATGCAAATCCTATTTAAAATAGTAACTAACTCTAATTAAGTATAGATTTGAATCAAAAAAGTTATTACTTTTGTGTGGATTTCACTCTTTCATAATGTATTTATTTTTGATTTATTTAATTAGTTAGTAATTATATTTAATTAGATATATATTATTTTACTAACAATCACTTTACTGATATCTTAGTTCACTGATAATTAATTTGCCAACAAGTTCATTTCACTAACAATTAATTTACTGACAAGTTTATTTTACTAACAAGTTTTTTATAAATTATACTAACCTTAACTCTAATTCTAGTCTAACCTTAATATTAATGACCAGAATTACTTTGTCTATGAAATAAGCTATTGGTAAAATAAACTAAGATATAAAATTATAAATCTTTATTTGGATATCAATAAATATTTGAATAAAATTTGGATAAAAATTAAAAATTTAGAAAAATTTGAATATAAACTTTATTATTTTCATTAATTAAAATATAGCATTTAATATTTTCAATTAGTATTCCACATGAATCAGACTAAGCAGATATTTTTAAAGATCTGATCTGATCTGAAGAACAAATCAGATCCAAAACTTGAATCTGGTCTGGTATTTCTAAATATTTTGACCAATCAGAAAAGCTAGTTTATAACTTTGAATCAGATTATGTAGATCTTAATAAGGGTCTGAACCTGGTCTGCTTACAGATCTGAGTGAGTGGGTAGATAGATCAGATTTTTTGCAAAATATTATTTTTAATGAATTTTCATTTAAAGTTTGTCTATCAAATATAGTTATTAGGTTTGGTTTAATAATTTTAGATATGCTTCATATTTTTTTGGTAGATTTTGAAATTTATATATGAAACAATAAAGGTCTTGTTCTTATAATTATATATATCACTGAAATAGGTTTTTAAAAAACCCTATTTTGTCTCTATTAAAGCAATTTAGATTTTTTATATATAAAAGCAAATTTAATTTAGATGGTTATATTTCTTTTAATTTCATCTTTTCAAAAAAAGTATCAAAAAATTTTATTTTTTAAGTAAATAATAGATCAAAAACAATTTCAGATTCAAATTTTAATTTTATATCCTGAAATCTAAAATAATTTCATCGATATGTATACTTATAATTGAAAATTTATATATATGACTATAGACAGTAGTTTTTTTAGTAAGGTTTATCATTTTTTATTATTTGTATATTTAACAATATAACTTTTATATACTTTTATATTGTATCCACTAATTTAATTTTTAGTAATATTTTTTTTAGTAAATTGTTATACAAACTTTTGCTATTAAGTGATATAAATAACAATAAACAAAATATTCAATAAAAATATTTTTTGGTCTCTATATAAAATAAATATGCAATAAATATTAAAAAAATAGCTATACTAAGCTATAAAAGTAAGCAATATTACTAGTTATTGAAATATTTAATATTTTCAGATAGTGAAAGATTGGTTTAGTCATTGAACAATTGATTGAATAATAGATAAGAGTAAATTTGGAAGCAAATTTTTAGAAAAATAGTATTTTTAACTTACTTTCAGCTATACACTTTATTATAGATTCAAAATAAGTTTAAAAGTATGTTTTTGTAAAAACTTAACTTTATAATAAACTTTAATAAATAATTCTCAACTATAATTAACTAATTTTAGTATTAAACCAAATTGGTAGATATATGTATTCAAAAAATAAACTATTGAACTATTATTTGATATTACACACTTTCTGATTAGTTGAACATAGGCATCAGATTATATAAATTCTAAAATTGTCCAAAATTTAGATATTTGTAGAGCTAGATATCAAAATTTAGAAATTTTAAAATCAGAGACCAATATTTAAAAAAAATTTGGATCCAAATTTTTGTATATGAGCTAATTTATATGATATAAAAATATAATATAAAAATATGATTCTTTATATGATTGATAAATATTCATATAATTGGATAATGTTTGCAGATCTAAACACAACTATTGATTAATCAAATCATTCAAGAAAATAAAAAAAATTTAAAATGTGAACATAAATAATAATTAATTACAATAATATAAACAAATTGTAATATTTATTTATCGTATTTTTAAATAGTAAATTGATTATAATCTTTTATTATCAATATTTTTACTAAAAATATGTTCTTTGAATCTATATTGTTAATTAAATAACAAAACACTACTAATATTTACTATCTGCTTTCATATTTACTAACCTAACAAGCTTAATTTTTCTATATTATTAAATTAAAATAAGATATTAACATTAATAATTTTGATAAATCATATTTTAAAGATTTTAAATAAATGATATATATAAGATTCTTTTTTTAAAATTAAACTTATATTGAATACCTTGTTTTTTTTTATATTAACCTTTTTGTATAAAATATTAGATACATAAGACTAGTACTAGTAAAAGATAGAATTATAAAGTATTGTCCTTTAAATAAAGTTTATTCAAAATTGAATTTGTAGATTTTTATTGCTATTATAAACATAAAAGTTTTTTAAAAAAATATTATTATATTGGTTTAAATTCTATATATATTAAAACTTATCTCTAACTCATCTTCAACTCATCTCTAACTCATCTCCAACATCTAGCTTTAGTTCTTAATTAGTTAAAAGAGATTGTTTTTTTAGCATTATCAATTATTATAAATAAAAAATTTAATTGGTAAAGATTTTAATTATATTATTTACAAATATCACTTTCTAAAATCTAATTAATAATACTTGTTAAAGATCTTAATTACATTATTTGTAAACATCATATAAATTAGTATACCTGAGCATGCATATATTTATTTATGCTAGTGATACAAATCTAAAAAAATAATTAATTACTGATATGACAAAAATTTATTTTTATTGGCTGATTTACAAAAGTTCTGATTAGCTAAATTAAAATAAAAATAATTTGTTTCAAAAATATATTTTGATTTAAATTAAATATTTATACTTTCTAACAATCAATTATTTTTGCTATTTTAATTATTTTCACCAATAATTATCAAAGGTATCTCACTTTTAATTACTTTTCAAATCCTGTTTCTTATGGTAATAATATTTCCAAAATTATTTAAATAAAAAAAACAGATTTTTTATACATATTTCATAATAACCAAATACAAATGTTATGTATTATTTAATAAATTGTTATTATTAAAAAAATTGATCACAATTTAATAATGAATTCTTAATCTTATTAAATAGATTTGTTAATTATTATAATAAATATATTTAAATAAAAAATATACAAGTTTCAAAATATATATTAAAGTATATAATTTAATATAATAAGCAAACTAATTATTAGTACACAAAAAAGGTTTAGAGATGCTCTAACCAAAATCAAAATTTTTACTGTGTTGTTAAATACAATATTCATATATATAAATTTGGAAATTGTTTAATATAAAATTTAGTATATACAATTCAAACATGATCTATGATAGTAGCAATATGCAAATTGCAAATTATAGCTATGTAATATAAAAGTAAAATATATATACATTATACGTAAAGAGTAAAAGCATCTAACCAAATTTAGTATAAAGATAAGGTTTTAGTTGTTGTATATTTATTATAAGTAACAAAGAAGTTTTGTATACAAAATCAAAAAACAGAAATAAATTAGTAAAGTTAAAGTGGTAAAATAAAATAAACTTGCCCATAAAAATTTTTAAACAAATATAATAAAAAACAAACTCAAACAATATAAGTTAATGATTAATAAAAAGTTAGTAAGAGTAATAAAAGTAAGGTTGCTAGTAAAAGCTATATTGAACAAAATTTTGAATATACAGATAATAACAAGTTTGCTAAAATATTTAAAACATAATATTCTTTAAAATTATTAGCAATAACTTGTAATTTAGTATAAACTTATAGACTTATAGTTTTTTATATTATCTGACAAAATCAGTACTTATAAAACATTTTATTTCTTTTTTGTTTAGGCTTAATAAACATTCTTAAGTAGTGTAAAACTACATCAGTGTATCTTTATATAAATATAAATAATAAAAATTTAAAATATACAAGAAACTCTAGTAATATAAATAAATTATCTTATAATAATATATTTCAAAAATATAAATTATTTGTTAGTTGTACTGTATAAATCTAGAAAATAGAAATCTATCAATATTAAAAGTTTTAAAATTAATATGTAAATTGATCAATTTCAATAATATTTTTGATTCTAATAACAATAAAAAAGTAAAAAAAAACTAGATATAAAAAGGATAATTCTTTTATATCTGCTTGTATTTATACTACGCAATATTATTAAAAATAGAATACACTCCAGAGTTTGATGCTTTAGACTATACTGATAATCAAGAAGCATGTTTAGAAAAATTGTTCAATCACTTTGACCAGTTTGCAGAATATTTTCAAGATAATAATAATATTGATATTGACAAATTTTTTGCTGATGCAGTTTTGATTAAATGTGACAAAAACTCTTCTATGGTAAAACTGTAAAAGGAATCAAATACAGTGCTTCAACAAATACTGATTTTTATAAATAGATACAGGAATTTGGAAAATTAACAGGGTTAACCTATGTAAGACATATTATTGAGTAAAATCAAAAAAATATAATTTTATAAGTTATATATAAATATCACTGTACTAAAATCTATCAAAGTATAGCTAGTAAAAACTAATCAATTAAAAAACTATACCTAATTAAAAAGAGACAAAAAAATGTAACTACAAATCAAATATAATTGTAACTAATACAAATACACCCAATAGTATTCAAATGATTATAAAATATACTTCCTATATTAATCATATTTCTGGTTTTAACAAAGATATAAGTACTTTAAGGCTTTCTAAAGAGGTTTGCAATTGAATTGCTAACATATCAGAGATGGATTAAATATTAAAAGAATCAATAGATTATTTCAAAAATGAGCCAGATATGACAAATATCTAAAAAGTTAAAACAAAAAAAATACTATCAATATTCAAGATAATCTTGTAACTTGCAATGATATATATAATATTTAAAAAAAGGTGATTGCAAAAAGTTAGATAAAGCATAAATTAGAAGAACAAAGTATTGAATTATAGAGAATAGAACTCGATCAAAAAAAGACCTTATCTGCACAATCCAAAAACAGAAAGCAAATATCAATTTTTCTAATCTTTTTTTAAATATCTTATTTTAATTTTTTAATTATTATTATTATTATTATATATATATATTTTTTAATTTTTAGACAATAGTGAATTTGATAAAGGCAAACTCATCAGATTCACACTTTGTAGAGAAATTATTAATAAAGTTTCTATTATCCTTCTTGATATAACTCATAGAACAAATAAATATAAAAATTTATTATATACTCTTCTTTTCTCTGACCCAAAAACTGGTAAAAAAGTTACTCTTTCTTACCTAATTTCATCTTGTAAAAATTTTGAATCTATACAATATTGGCTTTGCATCTTTATATTTAGTTTTCTGAATAGAAAAGCTCTATCACATTTTTTGTGAATTGTGATCCTGCACAAATTAAAACACTTCATATAGTATTTTCAAAAAGTAAAATCTTGCTGTATTGGTGGTATATTTTAAGAGCTTGGTGGGAAAATCTAAAAAAAGTGAGTAAAGACCAAACCTAATTATTAGAATATAAACTTATAATTGATGAGAAAAAATTGTTAGAGAGTGAGTTTTTTGAAAATCTAAAATATTTAATGAAGATTGATAATATAAGTATTGTTAAAAAAGTACTAGTAATATTTTTAGAAAAATAGAAGAATTCTGTATTTTTTATTACTTACTTTAAATGGCAATAGTTAAATAAACTGGATAAATATAATAATCATCATAGTATTGATAAAGTTATATAAATTAATACCTATCACACTAGAATTTTATGAATGATGAATATAACAAATATGCTAGAGTCTTGGCATAAGCATTTTAAGTATAGTAATTTTGAGAGAAAAATAAATAGATATATTGATATCTTAATTGGTGATTCGCTACTCAACCAGAGAGAGCTTATAGTGTAATATAATGCAGTTTACATATAAAAATTAGAGTTTTTGGAATGTGAGCTACTTCTATCTAAAACTTTTTTTGTACTAAATTAATTATCTTTGGGTCTCTAATTGAAGTTGTAAAGCTCATTGAGACGAATCTAATAGTAGTTTAATCGTCAAAATCGGCTTAATGGATTATGAGATATCTTCGAAAAATATTTCACTGACTATAAAATTCTCTCTTTTGACAATAGTATTGCCAAGAGAATTTTACATAGTTTGCAAAATGTTTT